CATATAGAACGCCCTGGTGCCGCCGACCCCTATTGGAATCCACCCCAAAGACAGCGCGTCGCCGCGGCCTTAGCCCATCTATGGCGCGCAAAAACTCGCGGAAGGCAGTTTCCAAAACCCACTGAAGGAGGTGTGGATGCCAGCATATGCTAGCTATAAAAAATCGCGTCGCCGCCTTCGCCCATCTAGTTTTGCGTGCAAAAGCTGGTGGAAAGGGTGTCAAACGGCAGTATCGAAACCAGCCAGAGAAAACGTCCCGCAATGGCCTTAGCCCATCTAGGTCTGCGCGCGCAAAAGATCGTGGATCAAGCGGCAGTTTTGATGCCCATTGAAAGAGGTGCGGAAACTAGCCAGAGAAAACGCGTGCCTGAGCCCGAGGGAAAGGGTGCCTGTGGAAGCCAGCCAGACTGCGTGCCCAAACGGCAGTATCGAAATGGATTAGAAATTAGAAGTACGGAAGCCCATCAAAAAAGGTATGGAGGCGTGGAAGCTGCCTATAAGCGACGACCCGCTGAAAGAGGTGTGGAAGGGTGGCACGCTGCAAGCAACTGCCACAAGCAATTGGAACCTTCCGTATCCCAGGCGCCGCCCCACCTAGACGTTGGGTAGGCCGGGACCGGTAGATTTTATTTCCATGTTGCTGTGAAGACCCAATTGGTCACTGCTGTGATTTGGGGTTGCTTTGGTTGCGAGTGTGAACTTGTAGCTGTTTTACAGGAACCTGCGCGCATGTTGACAAAAGTTGACAAGATAGAACAACTAATGTAACTAATCCACCAAATTCCTTCACCACCGTTCTGAGGAGTGAAGAAACTTGGCCTGCAATCTGTGCCCCACTTTACGTGGAACGACCGTCGTTCGCTGTTCATACACGTGCAGGTTTGTTTTCCTATGACATAGGAATGCACCTCAGTGACTTTCATGTGACTTTTGTGCCCCATGCACTAGTAGCTTCTTGCTACTAGCAGCTAAGTGCATCGCTATCAGTAACGTGCATTTCTACTAGTAACAAGAAGCTAGTAGTAGCTCCTGGCATTACTACTA